TTCGAATAAATCTTTTTTTAATAAATGATTGCTCTATGATTGCCTACCGGATTTTAAAAAACAAAAGTAAGCCTTTGTGTCTTTCCAGGCTATCATCTACATCTATGCCAAATTTCATGGAAATCCGTTCAGGAGTTTAGGCTACAAACTCTAACATCCGTGTTAACTTTCGCATTTTAATATTACCTTAAGCCCGCGACTCCGTACACAAGAAATTGAAAAAAAAAAACGAAATAGTCTATGTATTCTTACATATTATCCTCTACATCTTTGCCAAATTTCATCGAGATCCGTTCAGCAGTTTAGGCTACAAACTCTACCAACATCCAGCCATCCAAATTTTTGCAATTATAATATTAGTAAGATAGAAGAAAAGAAAAATTATTATTATTGAATTTAGAACCCTTGAAAACACTGGAACCAAAAGTAGATTTGTCATTAATATGAACAAGAACACGATAGATTCAACAAATAGATAATTGTTAACCGTTACAAAGTACTCGAGATAGCATACCTCTTGAGGGTAATAAATTCCGATACCTGTTCGATAAAGTAATACAAGAATTACAAGAACTTTCGAGTTTGGCACGACACGAATTTATAGTGAGCAATCGAGCGAGCAAATTACGAAATTTTATCGTTCGATACCATGCCCTTTGAAAATAGTCCCCTAATTAAAAGGTATTTAATTTTTACTGAAAGTTAAAACTTGAAAACTTTTTGTTAAGTGTTTATTTGTTAAATACTTGTCAAAAGTGAACCGTTTATTGATGTCAATGTTAAGATTTTTTTTTATAACATAAGGTAGCAAACTAGCAAGCGGCTATCTGAAGCGACCACTGCCCATAGACACCCGCAAATGCAGATGCGTTGCCTACCATTATACGACGGAGGAAGGAGACGCACATAAAGAGGACATTTCCCCTTCCTATGCATCTCATCCACCGTCAAATCCACTTCCCCTTCCCAACCTCTCCTTATATGAAAAGGATGGTAAAGAGAAAGGGACTTTATTAGGCCTCCGGCACCACACTCATCAGACGAAACACGCAATTGCTTCCATTTCACGCCTGTCTTCTGTGTGGTCGTGGTATTACACCAGGCTTGCCGGCTCATTCGTGCTAAGATGTTAAAGCGGGCACTACCACTGTTGAATTCACTATTCTATTTCAAAACTCGATATAATATTGTATTAAAAGATTTAGTTCTAGTTGATTATTCTACAAAATTGATATGAAAATACAGAATGCAAGTGCAATGGCGAGTAGTATTGTAACATATGTTCTATACACTTATTTAAACATTTTGTTACATGAAAGAGAAGAAGGATATGATGTAGGCTAGAAGAAAAGAGAAAGATATATACAAAAATTCAATAATAATATAAACACTATCGGTTTGTGTTTGGCACATTTAAATGAACAAAATCAAGGGAAAAATGTTGTAAATGTTGAATAGATTACGTCAAGAAGTTTGAAATAATTTGATCATTCCTATTTACGTCATAGTAAATTTCCAATCGAAATTTTTTAAACGCGTAAACGTAAGACGTAGAGAATATAAATTTTTAAAAGTGTTCTACGTAATATGTGTGGGTGTACCGCTGGGCGACTTGGTGTGTTCAGTAACTATGCGACAAATGTTGCTTTAAAAATCATTGTATAACACATTTTCGTAATACGTCTCGGTACGAAGTAATTTACCGGATACAGGATTCCAATGACCAAAAACTGAGAGTACATTTTATGCTGAAACTCGGAATAACAAAAATACTTCTGATAAAATCATTCTTCTCATATTCCTATAACTCATAAATTTCCCAAAATAACTACAATAATTGCTGCCATGTATAAATTTTGATGTGCTTCTGTTTATTTAATTTAAGCTCTCAAACAATAAGTATAATTGTTGGGGAAAATAATTATCGTAGATTATTACCCTCATTTTGCCCTTTAAAATCGATATTACTACAATGCTTTAAATATTAATGTCAAAGGGCATATCGGTGGACGCAGACTTTAAAATGAAGGAAAACACTGAAATGACAAAGATTGTTGTGTCGACCACACAGAGCGTGCGCACACCTGAAACTAAACTATCGCACAACTGTTGTCTCGTTTTGATACCTACGAGCTTTTATAGAGGTGCGCACACTACACGATTTTTAATTGCGGTTGAATTACCAATACGACTTAGGGTCCTTCAAGGAGCGAGCCTACAATTTCCTCAAAGGCCGGCAACGCATCTGTAGTTCCTGTGGTGTTGCGGATGTCCATGGGCGTCGTTGACCACCTTGGT